GCCTCCCAAAGTGCTGGGATTACAGGCTTGAGCCACCGCGCCCGGCCTAAATTGCCATATTTTTGAAGGCCCCTAGTGGGATATTATTACGTGTGAATCCTTATGTACATGCACATGCAAGTGTAAAGGGTTTTTCTGTGTGCTACACGTACATATGAGATCATTGAGCAGTCTTTCTATACCTTAGTTTATTCGTGTGGAAATTGGAACTAATAATGCCTTTATTGCTTAGAGATACTTGTTATAAACTACAAAATACTTTCATGACGTGTATTTCAGTGAATTTATGTCTTAAGAAATGTGTGTTTTCAGTAAGTTACCCTGAACTTCAGGACTTCTGTGATGTTATACTCCAGTAAACCACAGAGGGTCAGTGTGAGATTATATTATATATTCACTGGTTTTGTGGCTTGGATCTCCAAAATATTAACCTCTTCAGGAAAATAAGTACCCTTTTTTTTTTATGAGACGGAGTTTTGCTCTTGTTGCCCAGGCAGGAGTGCAATGGCATGATCTCAGCCCACCGCAACCTTTGCCTCCTTGGTTCAAGCAATTCTCCTGTCTCAGCCTCCCAAGTAGCTGAGATTACAAATGCATGCCACCATGCCTGGCTAATTTTTGTATTTTTAGTAGAGACAGGGTTTCATCATATTGGTTGGGCTGTTCTCCAACTCCTGATCTCAGGTGATCCACCCACCTTGGCCTCGCAGGGTGCTGGGATTACAGGCATGAGCCACGGTGCCTGGCCAGAAAAATTAATCGCTCACGTTTGTTGTGGTTTGGTTTGATTTTTTCAAAAGAAATTCTAGTTTAGACTATTTAAACTTTCTACCTTTTCACATTGTGTATACAGTATAGTAACAAGGAGTTTAATTTCTTAAAGGTAAGTATTAAGGGAACTGATCACAGGTTCATGGGTATAATTGGAATGAACTACTCTATCAATAATTTCTATGGAAATGTGATAATACAATTTTATTAATTAGGGTTACAAATAAGTATAAATGTTGAATAAGATTTTTAAAGAAAGTTATACTTAATTATTTTGATGTATGTGGAGTTATATTTCCTATCTCAATGCATTGCTAAAGGTATCCTGCCAACTTACTAATGAGTAGGTAAGGTGATATATATAATTAACCAGTTGGGCCTTCATGAAGAAATGTACCTCACTGGGGAATTTTTAATATACATATAAAAGAAGTATAATCAGTTTCCTCTCTTTATATAACTTCCCCTGTATTCATAGTCCAATTAATCTACATAATACTTTCTGTAGATAATACAAGCTGAATATAAACATGTATGAAAT